TTATTATTATTATTTATTATTATTATTATTTATTATTATTATTGGTGTTATTTGTTATTATTATTGTTATTATTATTGTTTATTATATTTGTTTGTTATTATTGTTTTTGTTATTTATTATTGTTGTTTGTTATTATTGTTTTTGTTATTTATTATTGTTGTATGTTATTATTGTTTTTGTTATTTATTATTGTTGTTTGTTATTATTGCTTATTATTATTATTTTTTTTATTGTTGTTATTTATTACTCTTGTTGTTTATTATTATTATTGTTTTTTGTTGTTGGTGGTTATTATTGTTGTTTTTATTATTATTATTATTTTTGTTTATTATTATTGTTGTTGTTATTTATTATTGTTGTTGTTTATTATTATTATTGCTTATTATTATTGTTGTTTATTATTATTGTTGTTGTTTATTATTATTATTATTTATTATTGTTGTTATTTATGATTATCATTATCATTATTTATTATTATTGATATTTATTATTAATATTATTATTATTTATTATTACTATTTTTAATCTAACAATTATTATTGTTTGTATTAAAATGTATTATAATATTGCTAATAATAATAATATTTTTATGATTGTTTGGAAATGGTTGAAAAACTAAAAATACTAATTTTTGATTATATATTTTATAATAAGAATAATAACAATTAATAATATTATTTTATTAGAAACTAGGTGAAAAACAAATAACAGTTATTATTGTTGTTGTTGTTTATAATAAATTTTATAATATAATTAATAATAGCAAATTTAAAATAATTATAAGGAACTGAGTCAAAAACTAATAAAAATAGTAAATAAATTGATAATTAGTATAATTAGTTTATTGTAATAATAATAATAGTTAATGTTATTTTTTATTATAACTATTAGTTATTCTCTTAGTTCCTAATGTAAATAATGATGTTTAATAAGATTATCATGCATATAATAGTAAATAATCTGTGTAATCTGAAGTGAATTAAAATATCTGTGTTCGTAAACTGCTGACTGTGTTTTCTCTGTGCTGGTGTGTGTTGTTGAAGTCAATTGTGTTTTCTCTCCCTCTCTCTGTTTGCGTGTGTGTGTGTGTGTGTCAGGTCGTGTGCTGCGTCTGAAGATGTTTCGTGAGGATCACGGCTCCTGGATGACCATGTTCTTCAGCACCATCCTCTCACTCTTCATCTTCTCCCACATCTACAACCTGCTGCTGCTCATGAGCGTGCGCATGCGGTGAGGAAACACCACACACACACACACACACACACACACACACACACACACACACACACACACACACACTCTCTCTCTCCATGTCGGTGAGAAAACACTACATTTAACATACACTCACTCTATAGCGTTGAGAAAAGACACTAGTGTTCAGCTTAAAGAGACATGTAAAGGCTTCACTAGGGTAATTAGGGTAAAGTTAGGGTAATTAGGCAAGTCATTGTATAACAGTGGTTTGTTCTGGAGACAATCCAACACTAATATTGCTGAAGGGGTGAATAATATTGACCTTAAAATGGCTTTAAAACCATTAAGAACTGCTTTTATTCTAGCCGAAATAAAACAAATCAGACTTTCTCCAGAAGAACAAATATTAGAGGAAATACTGTGAACATTTCCTCAATCTGTTCAACATCATCTGGGGAATATTGGAAGAAATTGACAGCAGAGATTTGATCATTTTGACTTTCAACTGTGCATTTGTGTATTTGAAGCTGGTTTAAGCACTGATCTGGGTTCAGTGTCTTGGGTCTGCTTCACATTATGACTGAGAGCGGATTGAGGCTGACTGATCTGAGGTCAGCAGGAGTGTGTGCGGTGAACCCAGAACAGCACATGATGGATGTTCCAGCAGCTTCACAGCGCAGGAGCCGGCGACCGCTGCGTAATGACAAACAGCAGCACTGACTGGAGAAAACAGCAGTCTGACTGATCTTCAATGGACACAAGAGAACCCCCATCACAGCTTTCTTTATCTCTTGGCTACCGGTAGCAGCTTGCATCAAACAAGATTGATGCTTGCATAAAGAACAACCATTGGTATTGCCCCCTTCTAATTCCTTCCACAAAATAGTTTAAGTCAGTGAGTGACACTATCACACATAGCAGAAAAACAACTGTCCAGATCAACTTCATTCATGGTTCCATATTGGTAGAAAGACCAAACAAACCAATTCCTGACAATATTAATGAGATAGCAGAACACTCACCCTTTCTGTGAGCATCCAACTGAAGAAATGAAAAATAAATTTTCTGTATGCTTTTACTTTTCCTTAGTCCTTCCCAGTTCTAGCTTGGACTATTCTAAATG